CATTTTGAACATCATGACATCATGCATTTCTTACATCATGATATTGCATACAATTGATGTTTTGCCTTTTCAGGAAAAAGGACACTCCAAAGTTGATCACTATCAACTATCGCAATTCCAGATTTGATTCCTGTATCTAGCCAGGGCATATATGTGAGCGATTGACTGTAGATTCGACTCCTGTATCTAGCCAGGGCATATCTGCATGAAGAGTTTGAAGATCAACCCCTGTAACAGGCCAGGAAATTATCTTTCATTCTCAGGTCAGAGGTCTACACCTGTATCTAGCCAGGAAAGTTATCTCTACCAACCTTTTGCAATTCCAGATTCGATACCTGTATCCAGCCAGAGCATATTTGTAGACGAAGGATTCCAGATTCGATACCTGTATCCAGCCAGGGCATATCTGTAGACGAAGGATTCCAGATTCGATTCCTGTATCCAGCCAGGGCATATCTGTGAGTAACTGATTGTAGATTCGACACCTATATCCAGCCAGGGCATGTCTGCATGAAGAGTTTAGAGATTCGATTCCTGTATCCAGCCAGGACATATCTGTAGACGACCAATTCCAGATTCGATTCCTGTATCTAACCAGGGCATGTCTGTGAGCGACTGAGTGAAGATCAACACCTGTAACAGGCCAGGAAATTATCTTTCTCAGGTACGCAAGTTCTCGCTAAGGAATCTCTTACGCGATCGACATCCAGATGGCATCTATAAGCCCATCCTCCTATCCATCATCTTTCCAAATGGCATCTATAAGCCCATCCTCTTATCCATCCTATCTCCAAATGGCATCTATAAGCCCATTCCCGCCATCACATTGCTGATACTCTACCATGCGAGTGCAAATTTCCGGGCACTCTAGTGTCCAATCTCCTTTTACCCTCGAGTCACGAAAGGCAAACTTGTCAATCTAACTCTTCAGGTTCAAGAAGATTGAACTGGGGAAACTGTTGTACCCCAAAATTTACCCTCCCATTTCCTCAACATTTTCTCACCACAAGACCCTTAGAGCTCAAGATTCAGTTAGGGTTTCCTCTGCTCAAGACTCCTCATTGCACTGTTGACCCAAATTAGGGTTTGTGTTTGCACAAAGATGTTTTGACCTAAAATGCCTAAGATGACTTTCATGCTTCATATTGGACTCCCAAGTTTATCCATACCAAGTTTCAAGCCTTGATTCCAATCTTTGCCCAGTCAATTGGACAGTTGACCTAGAAATCAGCTGTGTTGGGGAAAAAGTCAACTGTGGTCAATTGACAGTCAAACCTCATGATTTTTTACCCACATCAACATTATGGACTCATATGAACCATTTGGTCAAGTTTGGATCATAATTCCACAAGAAATTTGATCAGATCACCAAAAGGGCAAAATGGTCATTTTTAGGATTTTGACTGCACAAGAGCAATTTTTGATTGTTTGACCTAGCCAATGGCAAACCAAGCTCACATATGGACTCAAGGACCCCATGGAATTGTCTTGACATGTTCAACAAACTCAAAAGATCCCAAATGCACAAGATTGACAGATGAATTTTCCAGTCAACTGAGCCAAATTTGACTGTATACTGAAAAGTCAAACTTTGACTTTTTAATCAAAATCAAGTGTCAAGATTCATTTTTTATTAAAACATGCCAAATTATGAAACTTGTTCATCAAGAAATCAAAAATTGCAAATTAGGGTTTGAAATGAAGAATTTTCATAACTTAGAATTTTTCTAAGTTATAAAAATCCCTAATTTTTTCCTAACTTTGTCCCACTTGTTCATCAAGATACATTTGGATTCAAGGAAAACTCAAAACATGAAAGTTATAGTCCATTGCAAAATCTACAACTTTGATTCACAAAGTTTTCTCAAAAGAAGCTTGTAGCTCAAGTTATGATTTTTGGAACAAGGGTGCAAAACACTTTTCTTAGAAGAAATTTTGACCTATTTTAGGCAGGATTTTTGCCTAACTTCATGGCCACTTTTCACATGCTTCCACTTGGAATTTCAATTTTCATTACAAATATGGATTGTAGTACACATTTCAAGCTTTCCAAAATATCCAAGAACTCATCAAACAACCTTGTGGTTAGAGAGAATCGAATTTGGCAATATAGGCAAAACTCACTTTGTTCATGAGCCATTTCCATGTCCATAACTTTGCATTTTTGAACTCAGCATGCTCTAAGCTAGATTACAGGCCTTTTATCTCATCTACACTCAATAATTTAATGCAAAACCTTTGTGTCCTAGCATTATCTTGTCCATTAAGCCATTACACAAAAGATTAACCTTAATATGGAAAAAGCAAATTATCCATTTTTGAAAAGTATGGCTTTATGTCAAGTTTGCAAATCATGAAGTACAATGCAAATCCTTTTGGCACAAGTTCAGGGATATATCCCACTGATCAAGACAAAGCTTTGCAGCACATTTAAGGGGCCTGCATAAGCCTATAAACCAACTTGTCATTTTTTGCTTAAGTTAGAAGGAACTTGGCATATTGATATCCAACTCTCATTGCTGCAAGAATTAGCTTAGACAAACTTGTTAGACACATCCCAAACAACATAACTGAGCTAAGGCACGACCAAAACACCTTCCAAACCTCATCATTCATCAAAACACCATCCTACTGCAGAAAACAGAGTCACCTCTGCAGTTGGACTTCCATAACTCAATCCACTCGTGCATTGTTGCTAAAACCAGTTCATACACACTCCATACCACATATACAAGCTATCCCAAGCATTGGACACGACCTGTAACACCTTTAACCAACTTCACCATTTTCACTTTTTCTGTTTTGCAGGTTGATTGCCATAGCTTGATTCACTTGGTTTCAAAGCAAGCTAAAGGTTGGAATAGCATCCCTGGACTTCAAGCAAGTTGTACCAATCCTCACCTTGCCTTGAAAGTGCCTCCATTGCCAGACACGATCCAAGCTGAACAAGTAAGTTCATGGACTTCTCATGGCCCTGAAGCTATACACATCCTCACTTTCCATTTATATTGCATATGCTGAGAGAATTTAAGACCTGAACATTGACAAAAACTTAGGTTAAGAATTAGGATGGAGAAATTCTCTCTCATTTCTGAGAGTTAGATCAAGTTTTTGGTATGTATGGAATCGTGGCTTGATGCTTGACACTTTTCATGTTATAAGTTTGTGCTAAAAGTCCAGGAATCATGAGATAGCAGGAAGCACGCGTTACTCTGTTTTTTTGTTCAGAGGTTGAAGACAAAGTCTTCTTGGGCTGGGCCTGACTCTTTTTCCTTTTTGCACCATGTTTTTACATTTGCACCCCCTTGGCCCATTGCATTTTATTTTCATTATTTTTTATTTTTTATTTTTGTTTCTGACTTATTTATTTTTGTCAAAGCATAAAAAATACTAAAAAATATTTTTCTCACATTTTTTGCATTTTTTTGATATTTATTTTGTTTCATTTAGCTTTATATGTAAATAAACATAAGTTTACTTTTATTCAAAATGCTAAAATAATACCAATACATTTTATTTTCTGATTTTTATTTTATTTTACCTTTTGAAAACACTTTATAAAAAATATACTTTTTTTTTGTAAATATTAAATATTTTATTTTGTACATATTTAATATATTTAATAAATAATGTAAATATTTATATATTTATTAGTATATTTAGATTAAAAACATAAAAAATAATACATTTTTATTTTTATTAATATTTAACTTTAAAAATCACCTTTTGACAATATACTTCCTTTTTATTTATTTTTTGTACATAATTAATAAATATTACATACATTAAATAATTAATACTTTTATTTAACAAATTAGGGTTTTGCCCTAAATACATAAAAATATCAAAAATTAATCATTTTCATTTTTGTTTATGTGACACATAAAAAACACTTTTTACATACATATAAAAAATCATTTTTTGCATCTTGCATATTTATTATATTTTATTTAATTATTGTATATTAATTAATTTGTATAATTCAATTTGGATGTAATAGTTAGATTTTAATTTCTTGCTAAAATATCCTCATTTGAACATTTGTACTTCCATCCCATATTTGTGTTGTAATAACTTAGGACCTTTAAATTCCGCATTTTAAAAGCTTTCTAAATATGCCATGCTAGAGATTAGGGTTTGTATGCAAAAATCCAAAATCAAACAAATAGTTTGACTAATACAAAGACAAATAGCATGAAAATTGACAACACAATACACACATGCACCCCTAGGGTTTCATCCACTTGTTGCCTTTAAAATGGCCATGTTAAGCATGTTGAGTACTTTGGCAAAACAAAAACAAAATAAAAGATCATAGTCTCTCGATGACGCTATCTTGGTTGCCTATATAAAAATGATCTAGTCCCTCAAAAAAAATTGCTAAAGATACTTGACACAATTGCTATCATGGTCAATACGATGACCCGCGCCTGTCCCGTTTAACATCCTAATACAAGGTTGTTTATCAAATGCAATGGTAAAACAACACTGTCAAAAAGGTTAAAAATGTGTAGGAAAGATCTTTGAGTAAAATAGGATAGACAACTCTTAGTTACTTGATCAAAACATGCAAAACATTCTTGCTATTTTCAAACACACGTCACTACACTTTCAAAAACAACTTTCAAAAAAATAATTGAAAACTTTTCAAAAGACATACACCTTTGTATACATCCCAACATGGATCATTACAAAGGTTGCCACCACATTGGCCTCTTTTCAAAACATTTTTCAAACCCACACACAAAGCACCATTTCAAACAATTGAAAACCAAGACAAGTTGATCTAAGCAAGTAACTAAGAGCCCATGGATAACCATGGATAGAAAGAGTGCTAATATCTTCCCTTTCTATAATCTACTCCCCGAACCCAAGAAAATATCTCAATGGTTTTTGTTGTGCTTTTTAACCTTTCCTTAGGATAAAATAAAAAGTCGGTGGCGACTCTTGCTCAACCGAAACATTTGCGAAAACAAACGCAAAACCTCAAATCAGTTCTCTCACCGTATCACACGTATCAACTGAAACTTTTGTTCTAAATTATGATGGACTTTTCCGTGACGGTTTTTGCCGAGTGTGAAAAGATCCTTTATCAAATATGCCAATAGTGGCGTATTAGGCATACGATCTTCCTCCGCAGTAACAACAATAATATTGAGGATTTTATGAAGTCCTTTAAAATGATAAAAGAAAAATCCCTATGAAAACATAGTTGGTTAAAAAGTTATCAAACAAAGATAAGAAAGAAAAAAAAGATATAAGAAAAAATATGCACTTACCATTATCAGCCATACAAAGTCGTCAACTTTCTTATTACGTAAATGATTCTCCTTTAGACCTTGATATAGAAAGGCCAATAGTGCCGCTCCCCAAGCATAAGAATCCACTTCGTCCAATTTTTCAATAAATTAGACGTATGTGGTTTTGCAGTTTTGGCCATCCCCACTTGGAACGATCAGCCAAGACACAATCATAAGGAGGACAACTTTTATCCTATCATCATCATTTTTACTTAAATCACAACAAATATTTTTCAACACACTTAACTTAAGTTTATTAACAGCAGGTAAAGAAAAAACCCGGTTAAAAGCCATAGGGTCTTTATTGCTTTCAGATATAATTGCTCGGCCCGTAATGGGCAAGTTGGTCAAAAACAGAACGTCTTCCAATGAGACGTTCATGTTAATACCACAAACATGAAAACAATAGTAATTTTCTTGAAGTCCATAATAACTCATGAACATTTCAAACAATGATGTTGAAAATTCCGATGAGTTATCTTGGACAAGCTTTAAAACTCTTAATAATGTATAACCTTGACCCCTATTTTCTATTCTATTGTTAATTATTGTTTTAAAAGGTTCATCTAAATCTTTCCATAGTTTGCACAAAGTATTTAGTTTAGATGATCCTTTTGTTGACATTTCCTGCAAAAGCAAAATCACTTGTATAAATAAGTAAACAAATCTGAATTGGTGGATTAAGCAGCTCTGTAAGGCATCATGTCATTCCCAATGGATTCGAATAAAACATACATATATTCCATAGTTATTTCAGAATTTTCGTTCGCACTATTATAGTAATATAAATATGTAATAGAGTAGAAAATACATTGTATGAAGATATATTGTAAGGCAGCAGTGTGCACAGAGGCTTTCTATATAAACCTAACTCTCCCCCAATTGTAACCAATTCTGGAAATACAAAATTCTGTTGTAACTACTTTCCTTTTCTCCTTTTCTCTCTCTTTCTACATTTCTATTATTAACAGTCCGTGGTTCTGCAAGAGTAATAAGGAGAGTGGGATGCAGGCGTGGACAAACTATGCCATTTTTGGACCTTGTGGTTATGGAATGAATGTAGTTTAAAAAACCAGTTTAGAAACCAATATATATCCTCCTTATCAACTTAATCCTTTACTTTACATACATGCACAGTTTGAAAACTCTATCATATTCCTGTTCTAAGAATGGGGACTCACTTTAGTCTTTCTTATACGACAATTTACTTTTGTTTTTAATTAGGGAATAATCAATTTTTCTGATCTATCTATTTTTAATCCATTAATCTCAATATCTGATAAATATAGTGTAGGGTAGGCAGAATAAAATTATGATTATACAACAACAAGCAGAAAATAATATTAAATAGGTTCCATGTGTACGAATATTTGCTCAATGCACATTCATACAAATACAAATTAATCAGAATCACATAAACCCTAATTTAATTGATCACTCTAACAAACTCAAATCCATTAATCACATCGAAGTATAATTTAATTGATCACTCTAACAAACTCAGAATCAATACACACAACAAAAACATATACCAATTGAAAATCCAATTCCAACCACATTCCTACGTCAAAGTAACAAATCAAATCAAATCGACAACTAAATAGGTGAAAGTAATGAGAGAGATTACGATATGAAGAGCAGCAGAGAGGAGAGCAGCGGTGGGTTTATCGAACTTGCGATCCGACTTTGAATCCCATGAATCTGACCTGCACACATGAGAAAATAACTCAATTATTTTCAACTTTAACATCATCTAAATCAATTTACACAAATATGATGCATAGGAAAATTGTATCCAACTAAAATCACATAAGCTACTGTCACATAAGCTAATGTTAAATAAGCTACTGTCACATAAGCTTCAGTCTCATAAGCTAATATCAAATAAGCTATTGTCACATAACAGATTGAAACATATAAAACAAACATTCTAAAAAACCCATTTGCTTAAATGATTCAAAAACGAAAACTATTATCCTAAATGATTAAAAAACGAAAACCCACAATGCATAGACACAAGAACAAAAAGGAAAGAGAATTGTTGTACCTGAAAGTGCGAAGAAAGAAGCTGAGATTTGTAAAGAAGTTGAAGAATCGCGTTTGGAGTAGAAGAAGCTGAGTTGAAGAATCGCGTTTGGAGTAGAAGAAGCTGAGATGGAGAATCGCGTTTGGAGAAGCTGAGTTTGGAATCACGTTTTGGTATGGAATCGCGTTTGTGAAATGTGTTTTCAGATTGGAGGGTTTGAGAAGGTAAATGGGTAACCGACCCGTTTAAAAAAAATTTTTTAAATGCAAGCTATAGAAAATTTTAAGAGGATGGCATCTGATTATTTTGACCAGATTCAACCATTTGCAATTATATTTACGGTGATTTCTTTGATTAAAATATAAGGTATGATATTTATAGTAAAAAAACTTTTAATTATGATTTATTTGATTGTGTAATTACTTACATAAATATAAAAGACTAGAATAGTATATATATACAAACATGTATTCTATGTTGCAATCCTATTACGAGCATATGAAAAAGGGACTGTGCTTGTATTTTAGAGAAAGTATTAATACTGTTCAACCACCACTAAAAAAATGCATTTTAGCTTAGCTTAATTTAATTTATTGGTTAGGTCCATGTTACAAGTCATTTTTATTTATATTTTTAAATCAATTATTTTTTAATATCATTAACATAATTTTAAACTTAAATAAATGACATGGAATAAATTTTGATAAATGTGGCATGACACGTCATCAGTCATCAATCTGAAACTTTCAAGTGGAGGCACATGCCCACATAGTCACATGTGTGGCTTCGTCTCTGTTAAAGAAGTTACTACTCAACATCAAGCACCACCATCCAAAATAAACACAACATAAAAAAAAAATTGATATTCAACATCAAGCACCACCATCCAAAATAAATAACATACAAAAAAAATTGATGTTCAATTTGATGTCAAAGTCCTAAGTCCATGCATCAAAATTGAACACCAACAAAATATTAAACAAATACATGCAAAAAAAAAAGGTCTACTAAAACTTAGAAAGATCAACACTCAATCTTTCTTCTAACTGTTTGCGGGTGTACCAACCAACAGGAGGATATTGCCCACCAACAGGAGGTAGGCGCCATGGAACCGGCATGGATGGTGTTGGCAGCGTGGGTGGTGATGGCACAACACGAGGTAGGCGCCATGGAACTGGCATGGATGGTGTTGGCAGCATGGGTGGTGATGGCAGTTGCGGCAGCTCTTCCACCGAGTCGTTATCAGGTGATGACAGCTACGGTGGAGGTGGTGGCATCTGTATCTCCAGCGGAGGATCATGCTTGAATAATGCAGATAAAGTGGTGTCTGGTGGAGGCGGAAGGATCTTCCTGCCATCTTTCGGTGTGAGGCGGAAAATTACATATGCGCCTATGGTCATTCCGGCCATAAATGCAGCAACTTAAAAAAATAATGAAACAGTATGTAAAATATACTTTATCATATCTTAATATCCATGAATCAGTAGCTGCATTTTCCATTTCAGTGAAGTATTTTCTTTTTGCAAAAGCTAAAATATATTATTAATATATCATCAGGAATGCTAATACAAGCAAAACGGTTCAAACCAGATACCAAACAAACAAAAATGCTCTCCAAAACAGACACGCCACGGTAAAAACAAAATCAGAAGCAGGAAGCCAAACAGGAACAAAAAAGACAGATAAAATAACATACCATATATAGAATAGTAAGATCCATGAAGCTTTGAGGGAGAAGCTGAGAAAATGAGAAGAAAATGAGAAGTTGTGATTAGAGAGTATAGGGGTAAATATAAAGGGATGAGAGAAGAAAAAATATTTAACAAATATAAAATGTTGGGATATGTGTAAACTTTGTTCGTTGTTGGTTCGTTATCTGCAAAAATCTTACTGATAGGGCGTGAATGCGTCAACATCGAGATTACTTCGTTGACATTCTACTGAAGAGTCGCCATTTTCAGGGCGTTGATTTGTCAACCTTGAAGATGTTAACATGCTTTATTTGCATGTTATGTTACAGACAACTGTTAGTTGAATCTTCCAGTGCGTTGATCTGTAAACTTTGTTCGTTGTTGGTTCGCTATCTGCAAAAATCTTGCTGATAGGGCGTGAATGCTTCAACATCGAGATTACTTCTATGGCATTTCTATTGTCAAGTTATCTCTGACAGGGCGTTGATTTGTCAACTTTGAAGATTGTAACATGTTTTATTTATATGTTACGTTACAGACTACTGTTAGTTGCTGCTAGCAGGGTCGAATTTTTGACCAAAACATAGATACATTCATGACAGTCAGTGCACTGAATTGGATTTGATTTCTATTCCCTATTGAAGTCTTTTATTGCTTTCCACTGTCTGCAAATCGTCAGCAGGGCAAGGATTTATCAACAATCATTTATTTTAACGGTCAATTGCCAGCAAAATGCTGCTAGGGCAAAAAATTGCGTGAGTTTCAATTTTTTTGTCAGTATAATTTCATCCCCAGAGAATTTGCTCTGTGTACGAGATCCCTGGATCCTAATGCTCATATCCTGCACGTAGGGTAAAATTTGGGGTCTTATGGTATTTAAACTATCTTTCACCTTAACGATTCAAAGACGATTTCTTTGAATCCTCCGATTAAAGATGTTTAAATAGGGGCAACTGTTATACCCCAAAATTTACCCTCATACCTCTTAGATAGATTGATTCAAGAAGTCTCCTCACACTCGTAGGAGTCTTAAAAGCTCAAAGACTACCCCAAAGATTCATCAGATAAACCCTCCTCAAGAGCATTGGACTTCAAATTAGGGTTTTGTTTTTCTTCAAGAAAATTGAGCTTCCAAGGCCTCCAGTGGATCTCATGGTATCCCACATGTCTCAAAGAACCTACATGTCAAGTTTCAAGCCTCACAGTGCAAGATTGCTCAGTCAATTGATCCAGGGGCAAAATGGTCATTTTGGTCAAACTCAGTCAAAAAATCAAATTTTTGGTCAACATCAACATTTTGACTTAGGATTCATAATTTGATCAAGGGTTGATCATAATCCATCAAGAAAACCTCAAAATCAATCAAAATCAAAAGTTGCCAAATTAGGGTTTTCTATAGGAAAAGTCAACTGTACTTTGACCAGGCATAACTTTCACATGGTTCATCAGAAATTGCTCAATCAAAGCTCATTTTGAAGGAAATTTAATTTCCTACAACTTTGTATCTCATAAGCCAAGTCCAAAAATGCTTCATTTGAGAGATATAAGCCAAGACATTACAGGTCATTTTCAAAGTCAACAAAAAGACACTTTTTGTCAAAGTAATTTACATGAAGATAAAAGCTCCAAATGGAAACGTTTTCTTCATAAAGGGTGTAGGGGACATCTTGAGGTTTCTAAAAAGTCCAAGTTTGACTTCATATGACAAATATTGAGCAAGTTATGATTGGTGCAATTTGGGCAATTTTGGAGAAATGCATGAAAATCCAATTGACCAAATTCGAACTTTTGAGCAATGTGACTTATCCATTGGGCTTCAAACTTGTTTATGACATTTTCCAAGACTTCTAAGCCCACAAGAACATTGGCCATAATTTTTATTTCATTTATTTTTGATTTTATTCATATATTATCAAAAATAAATCAAATAATTATCAAATAATGACTAGTATGTCATTGGATCCTCTCTATGTCACATTCAAGTTGCTAGGATTCATGCTACTACATGCCAAGGGATATTGGAGCAATCATAGAGTAAAATACTCAAAAGTAAGGAAAGTAAAAAACATGTTTGCCATGAATCTAGAAAATCATGATTCCACTTGTGTTCTTCTTGTTTTTTTCCACTCATTGATATCTATTATATCAACATAACATGTCTCAAGGAAAACACACGAAAAAATAGCTCAAAACCTCATATACAAACTTCAAAAAAACCGAGTTCCAAGTGAAAGTGAAAACTGAGTTTCAGTTTGTTTCAAGCCAAACTAAGTATTCAGACATCTTCCTCGAAGCTCACTGAACAAGAACCAACTCTCACATATCAACAAAACATCCTGAAACACGAGCATAACACATCACGGTTTCTCTCTAATTATTTTTTCGAATACGACCATACACACATCATAAACGACATATGAATGCATATTATTAATCATGATGTTGTTTACATGCTTTCTGGACTGGTTAATTAGAGCATAGGTACAATTATCGTGAACCACCATGGTTAGGTTTCTAAGCTCCAAAATTGGGAACTTCCATTAGAGGAAAAATTGGACAAAACTAAGGCCACAATGATGATCAAGAGACAATTTCCAATTGATCCATGGTCTTGGACGAAGTTTATCATGCTTTTTTTTTTGATTATGCAGGGTTATAGCTACGGACAAAATCCGTAGCAAAAGGCTTTAGCTACGAACCTCAATCGTAGGTAAAACCCTGAACACATGAGGAAGTGTTTCCAGTGATTTCTGGTAAACAACCGCTAGTCTTCCAAACTATCGAATAATCTTTCTTACTGTTACTCAATCTCTCTGGTAACTCACAGGATCGACTAGATTGATCCTAGGACTCCTTGGATATTAAGGTTACTCTCACAATCGAACAATTATTCATGGTTGATACTGTATAAGTGTTTGGTTTATTTCGATCCCTCTCTCTAAGAGTCTAAAAATGTGGTCAAAATGTATATGAAAACTGAGTTATACGAATAAATGCTAATTATGATGCTGATTGTAGAGACATATAAAACTGCATGAAAATGAAGTAAATGGTTTCGACTTACAAAACGTTTAACATAAAAGGTTTCTGGAATGTAGAAGTTTAAAATGTGAAGAAAGTGTTTAATGCAAGAAAACTGTAAATGATTTTAAGTAACAGTATGCGCTCGAAGGACAATACTTGGAAGTAAAGATATTGAAAATGTGACAGTTCTCTGAAATATAAAGTGCTTGAAATATAAAGAAGACAGTAAAACGTAAAACTTTGAGGAAAAGACTTCGAAGTGAAAAGACTGTAAATAAGAAAACTTGTAAATGTTATTTGACAAAAAGAAAAGAGGAAAATACTGGAAATGGTAAAAGGCTTTCATTAAGTTAGAAATACATGGTGCTATCATACATACATTTCTATTGCATTCGTTTCCCTTGCCATGTGGTAGTTTGAATGTTATTGAGTATTTTGTATAACAGATATGACACACCGAAATCCTAATACTAAGACTTCTATTTATACTAATTCGACCCTAACGGTCTCGCTACAGGATTATGCCACGTTTCGAACATGCAAGACAATGCTTCTTTCATCTTTCCACGTGTCCCCAAATGCTCCAACACATAACTTTCAAACTTTGAAAGTCCCGCTTCCATTTGAATTTTAAATGCTTTTGGTGTCTCTCTATTTCGAGCGCTTTTCCCAAACATAGCCTCGCTGTTGTTTCGAGACTCCTTTGGATATGTTCCCATAATCACCGTTCGAAGCTTCAAGCTTTGACACACTTATTCGAAACACTGCTTCTGCAACTTCGAAACATGGCGTTTAATTCCATTTCGATCAGAACGTTTATCTCTTTTGGCTTCTAAATAATATTATCGAAATCTTCAGCTAACAAATTGCCCCTTTAAAATATGTATTTCGATTCCTTTGAGAAATACCTATTTTAAACATCTACACAAGATTTCGATTAGGACTTTCGAATCATCGTAACATTTAATGCATTTAACTCCAGTCAAATCAATCATAGCACCTTTTGGATTCCTTAACCGCCCGGAGTCACTTCACAGCGTGGCGCAGTTATAAGTAATGATTATTTTTAAATCACGCCTATTACCTATATCAACTTCACGCCACCTCTTCATCACACCAACCCATGATCTCCACGTATCACACCTTTATTCGGTGGATGTTTAAACTTCTCATTATAAAACACCAACTTAATCTTCTTCTTTCCTTTTCACACTCTAAGCCTTTCATACTCAGAATTTTTACCCTTCTTCTCTCATAAAACAATCCAAGCTTTCAAACAACAAAATGTCTTCTTCCACTTCATCCCAACTCAAGAAAGTCTCCAAGAAGAAAGGAAAAACTACAGGAGCAACCATGGAGAGTAAAATCATCACTATTCAAGGCCAATCTGCTCTTGCTCCTCA